TCCTCATCTCCCTCAGTCCTGATTAACACTCTTCTCCTAGCAACCACTGTAAATTTGCTCCAACCTAGAGCAAGTTCTTGCCACAGCTTCTCAAAACTTAAATCAACTAATAAAACAGGAGAGAAACGTGTCTTTGGACCAGTCTGTCCTAAACCAGAGATTGAAATCACTTGTTATACCCCAAATCTTACACGACTGGACTCTTCTCCTGTATATGTACCTCCATCCTTTTGCTCCTCCATTCTCATTCCTTGCACTACTTACAAAGGCAATATCAAAATACAACACAGGCCAATAATGGCAGCAGCTGTGCTCCATGTCAGACTGTTGCAGACGTCATGGGCACTTCCCCCAGACTGATCTGATGTGACTATAACATGTACCTTAAACTCCCTCCTAACTGGGTTGTCCGCTGTGCTGCTGTCATGCCCTCTGACTGACGCTGGCCCTGCAACATCCCATACTGGCCGGAGGCGCAGAAGGAGGACAGTGTTAAACCACATGACTCTGTTTGTTGCACAGATGTTCCTCAAGACCACAAGTTGTGGACCACTGGTGAGAAGCTTGACTTGTCTCCCTTCTCATCTGTCTGGATCTGTGAATGCCTCGCTGTCCGACTTCCAGGAGGAGCTACACAACCTGAGGGCTGCTATGCTTCAGGGCCACAGTGTGCTTGATCACCTTCCTGCCTCAGCTGGAGGTGTTTATGTCCTTATTGGCACTTGATGCTGCAGTTATGTACCTGACAATGATGAAGATGGAGGAGAAATTCAACCTCGTTACGTGATGCTGTTGAGAATGACTTTAAGATAATTAATGGTTTAGCCGTGGTACACCGTGTTCCTAACACTACTCACACCACTGATACAGTTTCTCCTTATTTTTCTTGTCATCATGCGTTGTATGATTCCATGTATTAAGAGCAACAGTTAGACAGACTTCATGCATCAGGAGAGAAATCAGGAACAGCGTTTGCTTTTAAAAGAATAACTTGCAAATCAGGATGAGGTTTAAAGTTTACAAAGAAGGTTTCTAAATGACGTTGATACAAAAACGGGTGCATTGAATATGCATTTAGGCTCCAATCACTAAAATATGTCGCTGCATTTTTCCTTATTACATTTTTATTCATTTATGGGGCAAAAAGCATGAAAAGGGGGAAAACGATGGAAAAATACTGAGGATTGTATCGCCTGTTTTGCAGGAATCTGAAAGTCTGTGAGAATGTGCAGGTGGCCAGAGAGTTGCCCTCCTACACCAAATAGGGGAGAAATGATCCTTTGCTGGGCAACGTGATCAGAAATGTCTGAATACTGACGGTCGTCTAACTCGGGAGCTCCTCTCCCACAACCTTGTGTTGATTCTGTGCACTGCTTGAATAAAGAGACGTTTGAGAGTGTTGGTTCCTTTTCACCTCCAGTTTTACACTAAATAGACCTGAAATACATCAACTAAGTCCTGAGAGATACAATTTCACCCTAAAACCTGAATTATTTTTAGTCTAACGTTACAGGAGTACTCATTGGTTTGTGGTTCTCTGGCTGTGTGAGCTGTACCTGATGGACGTGTACGCTGCCACAACACAGGCTCAGCTGCAAAAGTTAGTGATAAATTATGCTTCCAGTTATCTCAACACTGGCCCCGTAGTCTCTTCATTACTCTAAGGTGTCACAGCTAATGGGGGAATGATGTGTCTGTGGTTTCATTTCAAAATGCCACTACGTATGTCCTGATGTAGAAAAGGAGGACTCCACTGTCCCTGCTGAGCACAACAGACTCTGTGATACAGTCCTGCTACCTGTGATCCCTGGACCCTCCCACGTCTCAGCACATGAACACCGCATTAAGCAGCAGCATTGTGATTTGTCAGAATCTCTTGTGAGGGACAGATCTGACCTGCAGAGGGCGATAGAGGAGCTGCTGCACAACCATCCGGTCATGCTTGCCTGCCTTGATTTCTTTAATCAGCTGTTTCCTCAGGCATACATACAGTGATGTAAATGACATACTTTACATACATTATGGAGCTTCTGGCCTGTTTCCCAGACAAGGATGGAAGGTTTCAACTGGTCTGACGAGAAAGAGAGGAACTTGTAATTCATGTCACCACCCAGTGACGCTTCACTGTCACTGTGATCACAGCCTCACCTTCTGCTGACGACATGGAGACAGAAAACTACCATGAATAATTCCAAAGGACGTCCTATGTACAGCCACTCTGTAAGTCTTATGGGACTTTTGAAATTGAAAAATGACAACATGAAATCAAAACCCAGTGATCATGGGTGTTAATTAGGGTCCGAGGACCCCTACTTGCTTTCATCTAAGCTGCTGATGCATTCAGCAGGGATCTGGGCATTCATCCCCAGGATATTTTCATGAAGTTCCTACATTCTAAGGGCTTTTATGCACCAATTTGGTGGCATTAATTTAAAGTGGAAACTCAAAGTTCAGGCAAAAATAACAAATGTTATGCACATGTTTTAAATATTGAAGGGCACGTATCGACTGCATCTTCCCTGAAATCCACACCGATGCCGATGATTTAAAGTCAAGCAGTCACTTAAGGTCACGTGAGTGTTCATTGTGCTCATGAAGATGCTGCAGTAAATGTCACAGCATCACAACAGTCTTTAGGATTATCCTATGGGGATCTTGAATGTGTGTACCAAGCTTCGCTGAAATCCGTGGCCTGGACATTTTTGCTCAAAACACCAAAGACAGTAGGGTCTATCCTCTGTGAAACATGTCTGTGAAGGTCCTCAGTCCTCCAGCTCATGGTTATTCTGGTAGTTTAATGGTAGCAACTGGACCTGCTTAAGTTCCTTGAAGACGTTCCACCTCTCATCTAAGAGGCTTCATCAGCTCTGACTGACTAGTTGGGAGTTCACATCCTGATATCCTGAAGGAGACGTTAATAACCCAAACTCAGGTGTTAATGTCTCCTTCAGGATATCAGGATGTGAACTCCTGTGACACATGAAAAAAAACAAGTGTCAAGATCATGAGTCTTATGGTTGTTGAGATATTTCAGCTTTGGTCAAGTGGTTGGTCCACCGCCACGCTGCCAGTCCTGGAGCCTGGTTAGGATCTGAACAGGTCTCTAGAAACATTATTTCATCCTCTTGGGAGTACAAATGCACATAGTTCACCTGATTCAGGACTTTCATGTTGCCATACATAGAAAGTCTTTCGGGGTCCAAGAAAGAATATGTGTAAAATAGTTGTTGGTATTCGTTATAGACTTCTATACTTGGTTAAATATATTCTCTGATAAGTTGACGTATTTTTGGTTCCAAATGCACGACAAATCCCTCTTTTAATGTTTAAAACAAAATCTTCAGAAATAAATAAACTATACCTGTACAAAGTCCTGAATGGGTTAAAAATGTGTAATGGAGTGTAAAATACACACAATAAGCAATACAATATGCACGATTAGGACGTGGAGAAATGGAAAATGCTCATCCTCTGAGGAGCATGAATGTGTTCTGTAAATTTAAAGGCAAGCTGTCCTTCAGATTTCAATCGGTTCTGAAAATTCTAGCAGACTTTTGGCCTGTTGGTTGGTCTTGATGACAGACTGGTGCTTCTATAGAAAAAAAAAAACTCAACATCAACATTCACCACAAATGTAAACATCCAGTCCTTTGTTTTCAAGTGACTGCGTCTTCACTCCAACTGTTGGTCAGGAGGAGAATGACAGCCAGCTACATCAAAGGTCAGGAGGTCACCCACTTGTCCCGATCACACGTCTTGATCAGCTTCTCTCCTCAGCAGGAAATGCAAACAGCGATCTGGCAGCTGTGGCCCCTCACGCTGCAGGTAGGATGTCACTTTGACTGGCTGCTAGCTGCCCGCTATTTGTCTGACAGGCTCCTCCACTTTCACCTGGGATTCTAAATTTAGGCCAGACATGGAGTTCAGGCTGTTACCACGGATGATGTAACAGTAGAAACGGCTGCAACTGCTGCAGAGGTTACAAGACACTGAAATAGGAAGGCGAAAGGTTAAAGCCTCATGGCCCTCTCAGGTTGAACATGTGTGAGTGAGAGCTTAAAAAAAGAAACCCAGTATTAAATTGAAGGGGATTTCATGATCCTGTTACCAAGATTTCAACACGTTTGAGTCACTTGTGTAAAACGTCATGCCAACACACAAAAAAGCCCAGCTGGACTGTCTTTGTTCTCAGGCTCTATTTAAGTGTGATCTGTTGTAAATGTCTGCTCTGAGCTGCCTGCTGGTGTGTTGATGTCACCAGAGTTCTAATCAGCTGCTCACACAGCAGCAGCAGATCCACTGCAGAACCACCGGCATTAAGATTGCATTTGTCTCTCAATCACTATAAATAGAACATATGAATTTATGATTACGCACACAGTTGCCAACTCAGACTCCAGGAGCAACATCTGCTCTGTGGCAACACAGCAGTCAGAGGTTTAAAAGGCAAAATCCACTCCCAAATCTCCAGCTGCAAAATAACCTGTGTGGGTAACTCATGATGAAGATCACAGATGTACAGATCAGATTTTAAAGGTCTGCACAGGTTACAACACGCACAACATTTTATTCTATTTATTACTCCATGTTTGTTCACACCCAAAACAAAACAACTGTCTTCTCAATGCAAATAAAACATCCATCCATCATCTCTACACCTTCATCCTCACTAGGGTGGTGGGGGGCGGAGCCTATCCCAGCTGACTCAGGGTGAAGGCAGGTTCACCTGGACAGGTAACCAGTCTATCACAGGGCTACACTTAGAGACAGACAACCAAGCACACTCACATTCACACCTACGGACAATTTACAATCACCAATTAACCTCAGCATGTTTCTGGACTGTGGGAGGAAGCCGGAGAACCCGGAGAGAACCCACGCTGCACGGGGAGAACATGGAGACTCCACGCAGGAAGATCCCGGGTGTCCTCACCGGGACGTGAACCGGCGACCTTCTAGCTGTGAGGCCACGGTGCTAACCATAAAATAACCAACACAAGTTAAATTGTAATGTTTAATTTAGATTGTTTAATGTTAATTCCATGCTGTGTTTCAGTAAGAACAATACAGATTCCCTGTCTGTGGCTCCAGTCAGATATCCAGTAGTACAAATCAGCTCCAAGTTACACATAATGAAGCAAAACAAGAAGAGCAACGAAGGAAACCGCAAAAGAAAGAAACCCTCTGATCCTAGAAGAGTTTTAGTAAAAAGCAGGGGTGAAGCAGCAGAAAAGAATATTAATCATTATTAACTCATGCAAGCACTGACCATTTTGATTTTAGGGCTCTCTGTCCAAAGAGCGGGGTCAAATCCAGACTCGTCTTTTACACAAGTGAGAAATCTCCCAAGTTTTTTTTTCTTTTTTTCCCATTAAAACCACAAGCTACAGATAAATCAACCTTCAGAGATTCAGCATGTGTGCACAGTTACAGTATTTCAGCACAAAGTACAGTCCAAGGACAACTACAAAAACATGACAACAGAATCACTATGGTGTAAAAGTTCAGCACTTCTTTGCCCCACGTGGATATCGCGAATTTTGCCAACTTCCTTTGAAAAACTAAGTTAACAAAAAGGGCACTTGTCGTTTTCCAAACTGCCCATAAAAAGGTAAAATGATCTGCATGACATTTCACTAAAAACAGAGATAAAATAGCTCCCATAACTAAGTCAACATTATCAGTAATAAAAGTTAATTTCTGTAATTACATTAAGAAAAATTCTCAATACATCCAGCAACTGATAAAAATATTGAGGAAAAAAAAAAAAAGCAAAACCAAACAAAAATACAACAATGAAAACAAAGATAACATTTTCAGAACCGCTTGTACCAGGACAAAAAACACAAAACAATCCAGGGACCTCTGTCTTTATCTTTGTCTTTCTAACATTGTATTTCCTGTCTCAATTAAGTGGTATTTACTTGAATGATGTAAGGGCTAATATAAAAATAAAAAAGAAGAGAAAAATAAACTTGTTAACTCCGTGACCCTGCTGGGTCCTGGAGCTGCAGAGGTGGAAGAAAAGGGAAAGGAGGGGAGGAGGAAGAGGAGGAAGAGGAAGGTGACTCTCAGAGAGGGAAGACGGGGGAGGAGGAGGAGGAGGAGGAGGGATGAGGAGTGTGAGGAGGTGAGGGGGGAGGGTCTCAAGTTGTTGGCTGTTGGTGGCATAGTCTCACTGGGCCTCATCCTCAACGTCTTGCAGTGCCTCTTTGTTCTGTTCTTCGCCTGGTGGAGAGAAGATTTCCTGTCAGTGATCGTTGGGTAAAAACTTCACAAGGCTCCAACCTTACCAGTGACTGAGTGGCAGGCAGGTGGATACGTGAGCCCACAGTGGCTGAACCGTGGAGGTGGAGGGCCGTGGTGACACATCACTGGTGGGTTTCTGGGTTTTGTCCACACTTAAACAGAGTCTGGAGCGTGAATGCAGTGGTTTGGCATCGTAGTGTACACGGGGAAAATAAAACACACTCGACTAATGAAATGAATACAGCGTGGCTCACATGAGCTGTACGGAGGAGTTTGTTGTCTGAAGGTCGTTGCAAGGTCCCTTCAGCAGAGTGAAATGCATTTCTACAGTTGATGTGCACAGTCTGTGGAGCAGGAGTCTCAAACTCACGGGACTCAATGATATTTTGTGGCCCCCTACTTGACATCAAAGTTTCACGTCAGTGCAGCCATTTCTCTCACACACACACCTACGCCAGTTGCTGCTCTGGCGTTTTATATTTTTATCCCTGTGGGCTGCCGTAGCTCAGGCTCGTGACAGCAGTTAGCAACGTTAGTCACTGGAAACGTGATTCAGGAGGGTCACTGAGTGGAGGGAACATACATCCTGTCACCCAGTGCAAATGCATCTTTAAGCCAGACTGAGGGCCTCAACTGCTTCCTGCCTCCAGCCGAACGTGGCTCAGCTGCAAGAGGAAGTGCAGGTAGGAGGAGCCGATGTTCTGAAGAACCTTTCATGTTCTGAATTGTTATGAATAAAGATTGAGGAGATTGGATCAGTTGTACTTTTTTGAAACCATTCTTTAGTGGAATACTTGATGCGGGGCAGCCTCACCCAGACCTCCAGGGTAAGTTGGGTCTGAGACCGCTGCTGTTGAGGCTTTAACAATATCAAGAGTTCAGTATCGACAGCATGTGGCGCCACCATTTTTCCAGTATTGGTAACACCTGTGGACATGATGATTCTAGGACTTTTAATATATATGTTTTCCTTTACAGATTGTTGAGTTGCTGGTACTTCTAGCTGTGGTTGTGCTGCATCCATAGCTGAGGAGGATTTTATGTTGCAGTACAAACGAGCATACAGTGAGTAAAAACATGATGGGAGGCAAACGAACGGGGGATCAAACAGCTGGTGACCGTCCCTTAAAGAACCTTATAGACAGACATCTTAGATTCACCGAATTCTCTTAAAGCACCTTAAAATGAGTCTCCCTGAACCTTTGATCGACTTGCATTAAAAGTGTTGAAAACAGCAGGAAGTTGTTGTGGAAGCTCATCTTCTGTGGTTTTCTTTGCTAGTTTGCTCATGTGCCTTCAGCGTATGCCCACCTGAAGCAGTGTTGTCTGACGTACATGTCGCTGTTTGCAGAGACTAACACGCCGGCTGTGGACACGCGTGTTCAAATCTAAACTGTTTAATGTGGACCTGGTCTCAAAACTAAAAAAACAATCAACAGCCGTCTGCTGCAGGTGTGGTGAGCTTTCATTTGTGGGTTCCTCCCTTGTTTCCTTCGTCTTTGCCTCAAGACAGTCTTGTTTATGGTGAGTACAGCAGTAATGCTGTTAGATGAAAGAACAGATTCTTTACAAAAGCAGCACTACAGCAAAAATGAGTTGCTTTGGAGGAAGGTGCCCAAGTAAATGTAGTAGTATTAAAGGTGTTAAAGTATCAGCAGGGACAGCAGTCATGCAGGCACGGGGCTTATATGACTGGCTTACTATTACTAATGCAATCATGTGCAAGTACCCTGATATTAAACAGTCGCTGTGCGAGTGAAGATGGTTTTAATTACATTATATGCTGCTGGGCAGTTCAATCTGTAAAAACTCTGAAGGTTTTTGTGAGTCTGGTTTGTCGTTTCAGCCACCTTGTATTAAGAATCTAGTAGAAATCTGTGCATGTAGCTTCAGATTAGCACGAATAAAGCAGATTTAGGTGCAGTAGAAAACTAAACAGGCTTTAACTAGAAAATTAAAACAACCTGATCTGCACTGAAAACTAGTTGAGGACAGTTACGGCAATGGGACGTTCCCTTCTCTAAGAGCATGAGGCTTTAAGAAGTCAGCCACAAACTGACTAATAGTTGTAGTGGATGACAGAGAACAATATTTGGAAATATAACGCAGCACAAAATACAAATACTCAAGTCTTTCAGTCATCCCTGCTGATGAGCAGTTTCATCCGGCAGCAGGAACTTTTAAAGTTGTGTGAAGTAGAAACATAATCAGAGGTAAAAAATCTGTAGAAACTGTATCAAGGGGCAGCATCAGTCCAAAAAACCTGCATGCCAAACATCACTTCACCGGTGTTTGGTGAAATGGTGCAACTGTGTCATTCAGTCCAGTAGCTAGGAGAAGTGACACGGAGCTGATAAAGTGAGAGGGGAGGAAACAAACCAGGTGACCAGAGTTTGAACATTCAGTGAAGCTTTTACACAACAGGATGACATGCGTTTACATCTACAGGAACAACCTCAGCTAAATATTCTAACTGGAGAGGGCCCAATGCTTCACCATCTCAACTTCATGACCCACACTTTGTACAGGTCATAACTGGGAGACGGCACTTGTTAAACTGGGCGACTGAACTGTTCAGAGTGAGCAAGCAGTCCAGCATGCCGACAGCATGATCTAAACCTCTGGTGTACACACAGGTTTAACAGGCAACTATGTGGACACACACTCTATACAACCATGAGTGAGGCTGAACTGAAGAATTTCCAGAAGAGCAGTTTGTATGTGACTCTGCAGAAAGATCTAAAAGGACAGCCTGTTACAGAAAGTTATGAGAGGATTCGACTGAATGAGTGAGTTACAAAGCAACAGGTGAGTGGACAGATTCATTCAAGCAGCGTTAGTGCAGAGAGTAGAAACAAGGCAGCCACACACACACACACACACACACACACACAGCAAGGCGTGGGTGAGCAACACTTACAAAGTACAGTTAACATGGGAAACGAACAGGTTTGTTTCCTTTAGGACTCTACAGCAGAGAGAATGAGAAAAAGACAAGAGAGATGATGAGTCACTGTGAAATAAGAAGGTGTGGATGCTCTGCTCGCAGCAATGAATGGAGGAAGAGGAAGAATGAATCTGAAGGGGCTGAATGATTTCATGTATTTATATCCAAGTTGAAAGATGTCTGCTACGAGCTACTACTTTATCGTTGATAACTAACAATGCCTTAAGCTTTAGCTGTAGCTTAAGGGAGTGGCAACTCAGCAGCTACGAAGACAATCAGCCGAGGCAGATTTACGCAGCGGTAACTTGCTAATCCTTCTATGACTTGGAGAGACAACAGCAACGTGTTGCCTGTTGTCAGAGGCAATAAGCGATCTGTATGCTGATGACTACACTCTGTAACGCTTCTTCAAAGGAAGAAAGAGAGACTTGTAAATGTTTCGGTGTGAAAGACTGGACTGTGTCTTTCCACTGAAGGTGAGAGAACTCAGAGTGGCATGTCTTTTCCTGCATAAACCTGTTAGCGTTACGTGATAACCACATGTCAGTTTCAGGTAGCTAGTCACACTTCAACAGTCAGGAAGTAGCTTGGCAGACAGACGGTTTTAGACAAGAGTTGGTGGAATCTTCTAACTAAATATCTAAGCCCATCACATTGTTCCACGTTTATCCCCTGAAAAGCTCTAAATGAGCAGCTCCTGATCTGTGAGCATGAACCAGGTTGTATTGTCAGTCTGCAAAGCTAACATTAGCTCAAGTAGCTGAAGTGAGAAGCTGTCAGAAGAAGTATTCAGGGTTGTCAGAGATCTACAGCAGACCTACGTCAGATTTGGTTTACCAACAATTTGCAAGTATTATAAGCATGAATTCATAGTAAATGTGCGTAAAAAGGTCGCCAAAAACAAATGACTTCCAACATGGCCTTGTGGTGGGTAGAAACTGAACCTGTCCTTCTCCATCTGTCTCTCTACAGTTTATTCAGCGCGTGTTCATTTATAGAAATTTAATCACAATATGAAAGGGAAAGAAAACTCAATCTGAAGTTTTCCTCAAATCTTTCAGCCCCATTTTAAAATGCGACAAGGCAGGAAAGCAGGTGACATTTGTTAGGTAGAATGACTCTGAGTTGACTCTAGTTTATCCTCGTGTACGCTGTGCACACAGGAAATCTGCACTAAACTAACCCTGGACATGCACACAGTGAGCACCATGACCGACGTCCTCACAGCTTGAACTGACGTCAGCATTTTACAACGATGCCGGAGCTTTTCACTTCGATTCTTATTATTACATTTTCTTTTTATGATTTTACACAGTCGTGTCACATTTATGTCAAGAGGTGTGTCTCCACTGAAGGAACGTTCTCTGGGGAACAGGAACCTTTTGAGGTTCTTCTAACGGTGTTTCCACAGGAGGAAACATGGTCCAAATTCCAGGCAAATAATTTCACCTCCCAAAAAGTCCCTGCCCCGCCCAGTGTTCACCAAGGCTCACAAGTTTTGGGGTGGGGCCACTGACTGGTGAAGTCTACTGGGCTTTCTGCAGCGTCATTACACAGCCTGCATTACTGATTTCTAACCCCGCTGTGAAAACACAACGTGCGGTAATATCCAGGAACTTTCACCTCCAACAAAGCCCCTGGAAGATTTGCTGGAAAAGCACCTAACGACCAGAGAAGACATTAACCTCTGATCCTCCGTGGCTTAGCAGCTTTTAAAGTGGTTGGACGCTGTAAGAGGACAGACTTTCAGCAGCAGTATTACGGCATTTCTCTTAGGGATATACGCAGAGTTAAGGTAACACAAAGTAAAGCTGGAGCGACATCGTCCTACGTAGAGACAGGATAAAAACACATCCCATTACAAACAATTACTTGAGCCTATTAACCAATTGCACTATGGTTCAATTCCCAAAGCTGAGTAAACACATTTTTATCAAACCGCCTCTGGATACAGTCGTAGCAGACTCTTTTTGATGAACATGACAGTCTTAGAATTGAGCATTGCTGCTGCCGTTACTTGAATATCACATAAAACGTGACGACAAGCTACACACACGAAGCTCAGTAAGAATGTAAGCGGAATATTACATACAAGCAATGAGTACGACAAAAACAGAACATTAATGAAGTTGCTCACTGTATTAAAAAAAAGGAGAGTAACAGGAGATGAGTGAGTTAGTTCATCAGTGTCAGCAGCTAGTCCTGAAAAGAGAGGCTGTGCAGTGACAGATGAGCAGCAGCAAAGGAAAACATAAAGACAGCGTTGGTAAAACACATTATGCTGGTGTTAGAAGAAGGACCGTGTGTGAGTGTCTTACCCTCTCCCTGCATATCTGAAGTCCATAGTGTCAGGTTGTCACGTAACAACTGCATGATAAGTGTGGAGTCCTTGTAGCTTTCTTCACTCAGCGTGTCCAGTTCTGCGATGGCGTCATCAAACGCAGCCTTTGCCAACCTGAGCAAACACACTGCTGTTGAAATCACCTCATACTTCAACATGTATGTTTGAACTGTCAGGAAACAGATCTAAAGTTTCTCTCTGGTCACTGACTAAAGCCCTAAAAATGAATCTCTGTGGATCAAAGGTTTTTTAAATTAAAAATATTACTTCCTCCCTTAAAATTCCTTAAATTCAACTCTATACCACTGCTTCCTTTATAAATCTATGAATCCCACCCACCCCGTCACTCATAGGGCTACCTCACCTGCAGCTTTGCTCCCGCACTGGAACACTACTTTATGCAACAGCGTCAAGCTGTAATATTGGGGTAATTCAGCTGTACATGTTCAAACCAAACACTGAATCTAAAGAGGAACATGAATGAAAGCCCCACCCTGCAGGTAGACAGGCATGACTTCTTAGGTTTGCTGCATATGAAACCTTGGCTGTCTAACCTCAGACTGTCATTGGTTCACTACAGTGTCTACATTACCCATGTGTCAGAGGTTTTTCTGATGGAACCCAGGTCATAATCATCTACAAAGAGCTGCTGTTACATATTTCTTTATGTATATGTGACATAAAGCCAAAGTCACATGAAAATGGCTTTGCAGGGACAACGTTAATGCCCTGAAGTCGCTAAGTCCAGTTTAATTCTAAATCCAAAGCAGGACATGGCAATGGAGGGGACAGGGGTCAACACAGCGAGTCAGGGGTTCTTCTGACTGCAGAATCAACTCTGTGGGGGCAGTTCTATGAAAAACTATTGCACTTGTTCACACTTTATGAAGCGAACGACACACACTGACAGTGACACCGTATTGAAGAAACAGTAACCTGCAAGCGCGGTCAGGTGAGTTGAGGATCTCATAGTAGAAGACGGAGAAGTTAAGGGCAAGGCCAAGGCGGATGGGGTGCGTGGGTGGCAGCTCTGATGTGGCTAGATCAGTGGCAGTTTTGTAGGCCACCAGGCTGTTCTCTGCTGCCTCCTTCCTGTTGTTGCCAGTGGCAAACTCTGCCAGATACCTGTGGTAGTCACCCTTCCTGGAATTGGGAATTAAAACAATGACCTTGCTCATTTATGTATTTGACATTCTGTGTCAGTAAAAGCCAGTCTATTTATTAGCCTATTTTTTAAATATATTTAGACCACAAAGCTCTTACATTTTGTTGTAGAAGACCTTGGACTCGCCCATGACAGCGGAAGGGACTAGATGCTTATCCAGTGCATCCAGAATGTCACCACAGATTGACTTCAGCTCATTTTCAACCTGCAAACAAAGACATTTATTCAGTCAGAACAATTTGATCATGAACTACTGAAGCCCTCACTTAAGTCCAAATGATATTCCTGCTGCTGTGTAGCTGCAAACATCAGTGAGGGTCTGTGTGTTTTGGACCATTGTTAGCACCTTTAAGTTTTATGCAACAACATGCTCATGGTCAGCTAGTAGCTGTACTATTTCCAAAGAGGCTAAAACAGTGATAAAAGAAATGCGTCCCCCCAGGGAGTTAGAGAGCAGCTAACGAAATCAAGGTGTACCCATTGCTGAATCCCATTAGGTTATTGACTGCAGTCCAGCTGCTTCTCCCATCTCTCTAACACACTGTGGCCTCTCCCACAATAATAGCAGCTCTTATTTCCCTTCATAAAAGCAAGTGAAAGTGGAGGACATGCCAACTATGACTCAGATGCAGTCTGTCCAGTCGCTGCTCAGTGTTTATCATTAACATGAGCTTATGATCACACATTAACACAGCAAATCTAAAATGCTTTGAATTGACAAACACATTTGGAGACAGCGAAATCATACAAATGATCCTGGCAGACAGTCTAAATACAAAATCTGTTTATTGATATGACGTGACATACTGAGCCTTGAGCCTGTATTGAGTGCTTTACCGTTTGCCTGTATTCCCGGATCATCTTCAGTTTCTCTTCTCCGCCCTTGCTCTCTTCCCTCTGTTCAATACTGCTGATTATCCTCCAGGAGGCTCTCCGAGCTCCGATCACATTCTTGTAGGCCACTGATAGTAGGTTCCTCTCCTCCACTGTGAGCTCCACGTTCATACCAGCCACATTCTTCATTGACGCCACCATCTCTGTTGAGGAAGCAAGTGTAACACTCCTTTGAGCCCTTTCTTTTAAAAAAATAATGTTTTTCTTAGAAAATGTTCCTAAATACCTGAGCATCCACAGAGCACACCTAACAGTCAAGCATCTCACCTTGTCGGCTGACTAAATCACAGTTGAAGTTCAGAAACAGTCAAACATCTAACGTCTTATTTCTTTGAACTACAGCCACTGCTGATGATTCAGGTGTCCGTCTGGGTTAGCTCTGCATATTTACTTAGAAATATTGTAATTTAACTGGCAAATTAGACGTGTTTCACAAATCCTCCAGTCTTTGGCTCGGCAAAAATGTGTATAATGAATGAAGCATTCTGCCGCCTGTGAGGTTGTGCTCCGGGATAATAATTTACGGCTTACAGAACGTGCAAGACAAGGTTTCCATGTGACATGACGGAGGGTTTTCAGGGTCTATGCTGAGGCTGCTTCTCCACCAGCTCCAAACCTCCACCTATCTTTTGGCACCAATCCAGCACACACATTCACATGAAAATCAATTACATGTAATGCACTTCTTAGTTACAGTTGTGTGGCATCATTTACAGCTGGTGAGATATTACCTTTTGATAATGAGGACTAACTTTGTGGGCTAAAAAGAACAGAGAACAGTCTGGGCCAGCGGCTGAAGCACTTCTGAAAATATCCGACTTTTTCCACACTCTACAAATGAATCCTTTAACAACATATTACAATTTGACAACCCTCTGCAGAATAACAGTATGAATCGGAATACATTCCAGCCAGATTACCATCCGGCCAGTAAACCATAAATCACTCTGTAAATACACTCGGTCCAAATCCCGTGAATGAGTCATGGTACATTCACTTAACGTTACTGGGCAACGTATGACCGGTGGCAAAGGCTGTCGTCTAAAAACAGCCTCTACAAGGCCTGTAATGGCATGACAGGCTGACAGGAGTGAACCAGAGAGAGGAAGACGGAGTCATTTTCGCCAATCGATCTGTGCAGGCTGCTTGCAGAAGGGGAACACCCCACAAAGCGAACAGCTGCCCTCCCACTCCCACTCACTGCTAACACACGGCAGGCTTCAAGTAGCTAATCTTGCTATGCCTATCTAATGTTTAAGCCGACTAGCGTTTTTTTTTTATTGCATCAAGTAAAACTAGGTAGCTTAATATCATGGCAATTACGACACCCTCGGAGTAGCCATAATGGCTAACCGAGCTCAAGTGTGAAGCTACAGAGTTAGCATGGTGCAGGGGAGGCAACCCCTGACAGCTCACGCTCCAGTAATCCGCCATTTTGTTGTAGCCCCTTCGCTAATGTTAGCCAATGTCTGTCACTACCGTGTGGTTCCCCGAAAATAAGAAGGCTTCCTGGCAGAGGCTCTAGTATTAACGTCGCGGTAGTTTTCTCCAACAACAACTCATATGTCATGTCAGCAAAGAGTTCGCTGATAAATAGAGGTAGAAGCTAAGTTAGCCCTGTAGCTAACCACGGCTAAGCTCCCCAGTGTAGTGCTGCTCTGTTAGCAAGCGCACAGAAAAAAAAAAAAACTCCCAGCGGCGAGCACTCCGAGCCGGCCCTGAAAATGTGCCTTACCGTCATATCGCTCTGCCTGCTCGGCAAGTTTCGCCTGATAAACTAGGTCCTCTCGCTCTCCCATTGTGTATCGAGATGCAGGTAGGGTAGCAGACTAGCTGATAAAAGCGGCAGGTCTTTAGTGATAAACACGGTGGTGTGCCCGGTCTGTCGGCGGTTCCTAGAAACCGACTGGGTCGATGAGTGCTGTTCCGCCCCGCCGGCTGCGATGCGCTGGGATGGAGCAAAGATGGCGACCAGCCTCATCCGGGTACTGCGCATACGCACACGAATCAGCGCCTGTGATTGGTCCTCGGGTTCTTCTCTTCCGTAGAGAGAGCAGCAGGCAGAGCGACGGTAAGCTCGTTTAAACAGTAACTACCGTTGAATGAGTTGGTTCATTACATCTGCAGCCAGTGTGTTAAACCCGCACTTATTTTTGATCCTAGTGATCGTAGTCTACAGGATTCATAGCAACAGCAATTCGGTCTTAAAAAACAAAACTAAACAAACCCACAATGACCCTTTACTCAAGGCTCCAAGTACATGCTTAGTGATATTTACATTCTGCACTTTAAAAAACATGTGTTTCTCTGAATATGGTATGAATTTACCTAGCAAGTTAAAATGCTAAATGTAAGACCCTGCAGTGTGATTTATTGTGTAAATGTACCTGAGTATGTTAAATATCATGGCTAAGACCATACAATCCCATGTAAAATACAAAATTGTCTGACTACATTTATTAAGGTTATACAATGTTATATATAATATAAATTAAACGGACTAACCTAAACTTTGAGACCCTACAGTATTAGTCTAACATATTATCTGAGTAACTTGAAAATTAAAGTGAAGACCCTATAATAAATGAATGAAATGAAAAAAAAATGAAAAATACTTTATTCATCCCAGAAGGGAAATTCAATAATACTGTGTACAAAAGAAATGGACCTAATTGACTTACATATTTAAGGTTGAGACCCGACAATATTACATAGAATATAAATTAAGCTGACCATCCTAAATGTTAAGAATCAACAATATTGTATACAAAATGCAAATTAACCAAACTTAAAAGTTGAGGTTAAGAACCCATGTTATTACATATTCTAACAAATTACCTGACAGATTTAATAATGAAGGTTAAGACCCTACAATATTATATAAAACACATATTTACCTTAAATGTTAAGACCATACAATAGTATGCAGTCTAACAAATTATCAAACTAGTTTTCAAATTCAGCTTTAGACACTATTATGTACAGTATAACACAAATTAACTTAGATGTCAAGGTTAGGAACATATATTATTATTTTGCCTAAGAGTTACTTTACTGATTTAAAAAATTAAGGTTAAGAGCCTACAATGTTATATAGCTTAACAATTTACCTGACTAATTAAAAGACTGAGGTTACGACTCTTCCCTCCTTGAGCCTGGTTCTGCTGGAGGTATGATCTCCAGCAGAACCAGGCTCAGGGAATAAAGGAATACAAGGAACGTAGAGAAAACCAGACCGTAAACAACTGGATAGATTGCTGGGACTGCAGGTCAAGGTAATGTCATGTGAAGGTATCTATAACGGTGACAACTCCATTCTTGACTTGTGTGCATGACTGCTGAGAAAACACTTGTGTGATTTAGGAGAACCGACATTTTAATAGACAGTATATCGACAATACTGCATTTCCCTTCTGGGATGAATAAAGTATTTTTCATTTCATTTCATTCATTTCATTTCAGTCACGGTTTGGAAAGTGCTGTTACATCAGAACGGCACACGGAAGGGACATTTTGATCACCTGCCACTCAGAGCACATTCGTTAAGATAGTCCTAACTATGCTGTTTGGGGCCTTACGCATCACCTCGACACTTACATCCTTAAATTATACATTCATAAACTAACTTACCTTTGAAGTGTACTTCAATCGTCCATCCATCATCTACACACCGCTTAATCCTCACCAGGGTCATGGGGGGGCGGAGTCTATCCCAGCTGACTCAGGGTGAAGGCAGGTTCACCTGGACAGGTAACCAGTCTATCACAGGGCTACACTTAGAGACAGACAACCAAGCACACTCACATTCACACCTACGGACAATTTACAATCACCAATTAACCTCAGCTTGTTTCTGGACTGTGTGAGGAAGCCGGAGAACCCGGGTACTTTAGTCAATAGTTAAATAATATCTCAGATTTCTGTCAGCAGTTTTTAATGGAAGCATAGATGTTTAGTAGAAGGGTATTGGAAAACCCATACATTAATGCAAATACATTTCACTTTTAGTTACCCAGTAATTACCATTAAAAATAAGTAAGAGTCAAGGATATTTAGGAAGTTCTGTATAATTTTAATTCCAACAGTGATGTTCTTCATTCATGCCCCTTAATATGTAGTTTATTCTGAAAGATCTTTTCACTGCCAAAAGCAACAGACTCAGTCTTTCTCTCTTTTTTTGCAAGCAGTACCACCATGTATAAGGGAGTCCACATGAACACTACATGTCTGGATCCTCTCCTACTGTACACTGACTTCATACAGCGTTACTAAAAATATGTCACAGTACTATGCATGGCAGTCATTCCTGTAGCTAGGCAACTGCCATATGTAGCATGAATGAAAAAGGGTTTGTGGTCATGAATTAAAACAGCCGTGATAGCGGTTATGAGCCTCCTGATTCAGCAGCACACAAAAAATCCAATACACTACACAAATCATTTGTCATGGGTTTGACTTTATTTACTAGTATATTAACACATTACATGCTACAGAAAATAAAAAGGTAATTTCAATTGTCTTGAAAGAATATAGTGTTATAATAAAATGGCACATTTTGATATTAACACAATTTCCACTGGCATTCTGCCACCCCTTCCTTTGCATGAAAGGAAACGAATGACTTCATGCAGGGTTACTAAAAAAATACTTCTTGGTGGTTTCATCAGCAACCCAATTTATAAGATAATGATTTATGTAGCCAAGCACCTGCCATGTGCAGTGTGAGTGACAAAGAAGAATGATTTGATCACAACTACACAGAGAAAAATGGACTGTGTCAAAAGCTGGCAGTAAATGCAAATGTTACTTTCCTAGACCAGATTTTTCCAAGACGTCAGCCAAATATTTTTAAACAGTAGATCTTATATATAACATGGGTTTGGGATACGGCCAACTTGAAAATTAAATGTGAAAGCAGGACAGAGCTTGTCAGGCAAAGCTATAAAGGTCAGAGAGACTAATGTGTGGGAGCAATTAAGGATAATTACAACCCTAAAAAGGAGAGCACATATCAATGCAGTGTGGAAGCAGTAAGTGCATTCTGTTAAAAATCAAATTTCATCTCCTTTAATCTCATAAGCACTGGCAGAGAACGCTTTCAGCGAGGACCTCATCTTTCTATTGTAACAGTGCCACCTAAAGGTGACGTGAGGTGCTGGCCAGAAATACTGTACCAGGACATCTGAGAGGAACCCTTCACTTGGAAGAGACACAGAGTTCTCATAGGTCAAATGTAAGTAGACAAGGTTCACTCTGGCAGAGGTCCACGCTACACTCCCAGCCAGTGTGCATTATGATACACCAGGGTGATGATTGTCAGGAGTCAACAAGTAGATTGATTCAATCTCAACAGAAAACAACCTTTTGAAGGGGAAAAAGGCCATTTGGACTACAACTTAACTTCTTGGCAATGAAGAAATGGCACAGGGAAGAGATAAAACAGTAAAAGGAAAAGTCCATTTTGGCTTGTGCACTTTAACTGGATGAGGCTTTAAATAAAAGAGTGGTAGAGGATTAACTGAGGAAGCACAAAGGAAAGAACTAACCGGTGCAAGGTGGCAACAAGATTATTAAAAGGCTAAAAACAAAGGGCAGGTACCAAATAATACCACTTAGTCTTTTCTTGGACACATTTGACAAGATCTGAACACAGAGCAGTGAGTTGCTAAGTTACACTCAGTGAGCTGAATGGAGCACTAACATGAGGAGACAGTACTAGCTAACATGGTGGACAGCCTACATTCACTCTGTTCAACTTCAATCATGTACATCAGACGCAGAGAGAGAACACATGTGGCCTTGTGAGGGCTGGGGGCAAACAGATGTGCCCCACCCCGAGTCAGATCCTCCATTTTGCACCACAGACCCATCGCTCCCTCCCAACATGCAGCAGTAAAAAGTGTTCCCCCCTCGACAAAACCAGCTATGAAGAAAACTACAAAGATAACAAAAACAATATTTAGCATGTAATGATAATCACATAGTACATCATTTCATAACAATATGTTCTTCTTTTCTTACAAAAGACTACTTGGTGGTACTTGGTCATAGGTGACGGGGGGATGGGGGCTAAGGTGAGCCAGGTTGGGAGGTGAGAGGATGTAGTGTTGGCTTTGTCGCCACCTCCTCAACAGTGCTGCAGTTTCTCTGGTTCGCTGTAGGTGCCTGCTGTATGGCTATAACTTCATGAAATCGCTCCTAGCTGCTGGTCTTAACTCAGTTTTATGTTCTCCATGTGATACTTGGTGGGAGGGTGGGTGGGGTGAATGCTGGACTGGTCCTCGGTCTGCTCCTCGAGAAGAACTGTACACCTCCAGCTGACCGAGTTCTTTCATTTCTTTTTGAGGTGCAGGATTTATCTTCTCTCTAAAATGCTGTACTGGAGCCTCGCTGTTCCCGTCCTTCACAGTCTTGGTTTAACCCAAAGAAATGCTGCATTCATGTCCAATGAGACCACTGGTGGACGCATACCTCTAAACTTCAAAATACCTTTTACTTAAACACTGCCAGAGAACATTATTCACAACTTAAACGCTCATTTTGCGATATAAAGAAACACAAATCCCCTCCATACCTGTCTGGTAGAATGAACATCGTGAAGACCCCGACTACTCCAACAACGACAGAAGTCTGGACAGATGGAAGGCAAACGTAGAAGAAATAATGCTGCCATGGCAGATTGAAATGTACTGTGTTCAGATTCATCACTTACGACATGCATGCACTGCAAGTGTAAAAGAAGGTCAGGATTAAATGAATAGTTGGATATTTTGGTCAATATGGTTACTTGCTTTCTTGATGAGATTCAGATGAGAACTCTGCTGCTCGTACACTCAATATGAAACTAGAGCCAGCATGCAGTTAGCTTAGCACCACGACTGGAAGCAGGAGCCAGTGGCTCAGTCCAAAGGTAACACTAGAACTCCTAAAGCTCACTAATTAACATGTCAAATCCAGTTTGCTTAATCCAAAGTGTAAAGAAAACAACTCAACATTTAGCCGTTTCCCTCTGCTTTCAGGCCATGCTAAGCTAAGCTAACCTCTCCTGGTTGCACCTTCATAGATTTTTTGCACATGAGTTGGGAATCAATCTTCTCACTTCCCTCTCGGCAAGACAGCAAACAAGCATCTCAATCCAGACTGTCCTCCTCTAAGATCACACACATACACACTGTGTTGTTACTGTTGAGCTTATGACTGTATTTCCAATCGACATGAATGCAGCACGAGTGACGCTACAGCGTAGAAACCGTGATGACGGATGAGGATGAAAAATGCCACAGTGCTGAGCAGTTATCTACTGGCTCCGACACAGGAAGAGGAAGTGGTTGAACTCTGAGGCGAGGAGTCTCCTGAGGAGTGAGTGTTGATAACGTGTCCGTGGCAGCGACACGACAGAGGGAGGACTAAAGGGCGTTGCCATATCCATGGAGCCGGAGATCCAGTTTGTCTTCCGTGTTCCACAGTAGAGAATATGATCCAACTCAGGGAGAGCAGGTGGAGGAGCAGGAGGGCAGGCGCCATTATTTAGGCGGGCAGAAATGGAGGATGTGTGCAGTACAAGGGTCCAACGGGGGCCGGTTTTGTTCTCAGTGGTTCTGTACTTGGAGCAGGTAAAAGCTGGAGACAACGTGAGGGGGGCGAGCGAGTGGGTGTGCTGAATGGGAAGGAAGGAAGAGAGAGAGGAAGAGGGAGGAAGGGTCTAATACTAGTGTCCAGGTAGCGGCCCGGCTGTCCGCTCTCAGCTGAGTTCGTCCTCGGCGTTGTGCTGGTCCAGCAGTTTGACGTGTGTGAAGGGAAAGTGGCCACGCTTGCCTTTACATTCGCCCTCCCACTGGCCGTTCACGTTTATTTTGGTCACCTTCACCATGTCGCCCACCTGGGGAGGCAGAGGACACACTGTGTCAGAGAGGGCAGCAAAACCAACTCACACCAACAAAACCCGCTGTCCTCCCAAGTTCACTGAAGTCACGTCGAGATGAAAAAAAACAGGAAAATAATCAGCAATCACTCAATTACTTCAGTAATTCAGCAAGTAAAAGGCCAGCTCAGATATGCAGCTTCTGTCCAGTATATACACTATTCTTTCTGCTTAATAAATTTATTGTTTAGTCTATAAAGTGTTTTTAAAAAAAAAAAATACCTAAAAGCCAAAATTTCTCTTTGTGTCGTCTGTGTGCCTCTTTTATCTGAACACCAGTCCAAAGGCATGCTGTTGCTGCAAAGCATGTCAATGAAAAGCAGCACCAGGCTAAAACCAGGGAACAATTTACTTTTCTGAATAATTCCTCATTATTCATTTCTGTTGAACAACTGATTCACTGTTGCAGTTCTAAACGGGCTGATAGGGAAAAAGAGAAATTAGGAAATGTGTGAAACCATTTGTGCTCCCCTCTACTTTTTGTCCTTGACCAATCATCTTCCACAATCTGTCGGAGAAATACTCCAAACAATTAGCCAACAGTGTGAGAATGATGGGTGGTTGTCGGGCAGCAGCTGGGTGGAAGGATGTGTGACTACAGTCGACCTGCACAGGCAGAGGAGTGGCTGCTCCTGTGTCACTGAACCTGAGCAAACAAGGACCAACAGACAGCTCCAAAGTTCACGTCTATGAGTGACGACTGAAAAGTCAGCAAAGGATCAGTCTGATAAGCTGTTAGCAGCGCTCACAGTCCTGCTTGTGTTAAATGTGTGACTGGCAGGACACGTCTGGATACAACACCATCATATGTAGGAGTGCAACTAAAAGTGAACGAGGCAAACAGGTTGTTTTGTTGCACCAATAGATGTTGTGCATTATATAAACAAAGTACAGGAACTCTTCAAGAAGAGCTGGAACTTTAGCTTAAGAAATACCATGACAAGGCGAACTGAAGATCATCTGTAAAACGTGTTATTTACAACTTGTAGGAGATGGAAGTGATTGTAGCGTACAGTCGTGACTCGATAATCCCATCCTTAACAATCCGACACAAAAGAAGGTTTTACATTTAGTGTCAGATTATCGAGTCACTACTGTATTTGAGTTTTGAAATGCGTTTGAAAAAGAAGACTGAAAGAACAACATTTCAGATGAATAAAAACTCTAACCATGGTAAGAACCAAGATGGCTAACATTTACTGTAAGGTGTACAACTCTTCTCTAGCAAACCACATTTTTCTAGAAGATATTTTGTTTAACATCATATAAGCCAAAAACAGCAGCAGATCTTCACAATTAAGAACCTGAAATAGGAGATGTTTCACCATCTGTGCTTGAAAATTGACTTAAGAAAATAACTGACGAGTACAGTTTCAGCTCTAATCTTCTGTGATATCAAAACGATGGCATTAACTCCAAGCCTTGCTGCTGCTTGTGGATATCATTAATTCAAACTGCTGGCTGCGTGTTTTGTGGGTCACTCGTTATAAACGATCACATCAGGAAACAGTTTTGGTGTTTTAGCAGAGCAACAGTTGTTCAAAGATGCTGCCTCTGACGTGCAATGACAAAAGGTCCAGCAAATGTTAAATCTTTGGTCAGCAGATGGCTGAATGAGCTGGAGAAAGACATTTAAAGCAAAACGAGAACAAAAAAAATCTCAGAGCTGAGGTTCTGCTCGGGACATCCCCAAGCAATGCATGTAGGATGAAACACTTCACCTCTGGAGTGATTCTGCAGGAGGATTGTTGAGATTTAGCTTGTTAGCATATTTAGTTAGCGTCCCTTTCGCTCGGTCCTGTGCACAAGCACAGATGTGCACAAGACACACTGGAATAGTGAATCACAAACTCTACCTTTAAGGAACAATCATCATTACATAACCAATCACAGCCATTTGTTCACAAAGTACTGGAAGGTGCTGGACTCCCCGTCTGCACCGCATGTAGGACGGAGAAACAATACCACTGACACCAATGTTATGCAATTCAAATATCAACTATTCACATGATTGATTAACTGTTTTAGTCATTTTTCAAACAAGTCTGCACTCTCTGGTTCTAGCTTCTCACATGTCAAACTCTGCTGCTCATCTTTGTCCTTTAATAAAACAATGTTTTCACCATCTGTCACATTTTAAAATCTTTATGCAAACATGCTAATACCTGGTGGAAAATGGGCTTTAAGAATTTGTTAGAAGAGAATTTGTCATCTTATAGCCCACAAAGCAGCCTGATCATGGACATAATCATCAGCTGCAGCCTTAATGTGCTCCAGGGCTTCTGATGTGGCCTGATCAAATTTGCACAGGCGTTCATGTTATTATGCTCTGCCCTTATCTCCCACTATATGCATAGACTTTGAGCTTTGCAAAGACTGCAATTAGAGCTTAAATCCAATTTTATAATAAACTGCAACTCTATGATGCTGAAAAGTTTAATGCCTTGAAATTTAGAAACAAGCAATTCAGGAAAACTTGCAAACAACTGCATGAAACAGGAATTACACACTGCAGGCTGGTCTCAGTTGCTTCAGATAAAGCGAGATGTTCACAATCTGTGGGTTTACTGAGACAAGGAAACGTAAGCTAATTATTAACTGTCCAGTCCTGTCATGCTGAGTCACTAATACCCGACTAGAGTCAGAAAACAGCCTGCCTCACCGGGCCAAACCCAGAGAAGACTAGCACAGGTGGGAGTGGTGGAAAGCAGCTCACACAAAAGATTTCCTCACTCACACGTAAAACTCTTCAAAACCTCAAAGTTTTGTCGAGCTGAAAAATGAGCTGGAGAAAGACAAATCCTCCAGTACAGATTTAAAAGGACCAAGACTGGATCTGTGCTAGTCTCTGTAGTAATGCCATCCAGCAGCAGGGCAGGAGTGAAGAGAGCACACTCAGCCCAGCCTGCCTTTTAGTCCCACTCCTGGCTCAGCTGGACTCCTGGCTTCACAGAGACCAGAGGAAATGGTGCTGTTCCCAAACACAAACTATTTCCTTCCCCCAATGACCCGCTCCGTGGGAGCCCCGCTCTCACTTCCGGACAGTTTAACAGCCCAGCCACTGTGAGCAGCAAGCAGCGCCTAATGGCCGTTTTCAGATTTGGGTACCCTATTAGGTTCAAATCCAGGTGAAAGACCAAGTTCCCCTCATCTGACAACAGCTTAAGTCCACCAGGATGAGATACTAACCACTACGGACAAACCTTGTGCCGGTTAACCCATCATGTCACTGATCTGTGAGGAAGAGAAATCAAACGACCAGTTTATCAAGAAAACCCAACTGGCTGAGCACCTTTTGGCCCGGATTCCTCCTCACCCGGCTCAACAAATACAGAGGAAGAAATAACTAAAAGCACAATAAGGAAAGAAAGCCAAAGAATGTGAGCTCAGCCCTGATAAGCTGAAGGGCTGGACCTACATCCTTATTCCTAACTGTCTCCTGTTTTCCGGTGCACGTCAAAATAAAGTATTGACTTGATTCTGATCTGTATTTACCTCCAAGGCCAGGGCAGTCTTGTCGTAGGCGTTGGGCACCCTCTTCTGTATGGCCCTGGCATACACAGGTCCATTCTGAAGATTTGGGAGGGGGGTGGGCTGGGCGTACTGACTGGGGTCTCCCAGCAGTGGAGCACCAGACTGGGCTGCAGAGCCGTCAGAGTTCCCAAGCATCCCCATCCCACCCGGCGCACCCCCAGGCCCGCCGGGCCCTGCCACTGAACTTGGGGACGCCGGTCGGTACTTCTCTACATATGGCACCGGGATCATCCCCGTCCGGCCTTCAGAGTTCTGGGCGTTCCACCACTGCTCCTCTGGCTTCTCAAGAACTCGGAGTATATCGCCCTTCCTGAACGGGAGATCCTCTTCATCGTTGCCGGGGAAATCGAAAAGTGCTCGGACATACTCGTCTTCCAGGCGCGGTGGGGGGCCTCCGCCAGGGCCACTGCTCAGGAAGGTTGGATGTTTGGACTTGTTGATGGGTTCTATCAAGGTGGTTGTATCCAAGTAATGGATTTTGTAAAACTCTAATAAAGCAGGGAGCGCATCAAACTCCTGGTCACCGATACGGAACCTCGGATGAGCCAAACCTGGTAGAAATGAGGAAGATGCACGAAAAAGATGAGTCAGAAACACAAAATGATATCATTTGGTATGTAAAACACAGCACACCTGCTCAGACATGTTCACATCAGGCTGATCTGAACTCTGGGCTATTTATGCAGCCGAGCATGATGGAGGTGATTTCCAGAATGACCAGGAAGTATTTTTGTTTCCTTATTCTACATTTTTTCCCCAATGCATGTTTGTGTTGTTCCTTCAAAGAAAAGAAAAAAAAGGCCTGTGTATTTAAAAAAACAACACAAACAGGCATGAGGAAATACAACCAATAATGTGCTGCAGCTCAAATACAGGACGAAGAAAAGGCAGAAGGGGCAGCATCTGGGAAAAGTCTGCCACCACCTGCACACATGAGACACTCTGAGCAAGTGTCCCAGTGGTGGGTTCAGCTGATCGGAGCGGTGCACCAGGCCACAGTCACACCGCCCACCACGGCGGCTCTGGTGACAGAACCGGCCGTCAGCACCTCATCTCCTCCAACAATGTGCTGGATAACGTGCAGCGGGCGCTCAGTCTGGGCACCAACATCGTAGGTGTGTTTAATAAGCCTGGAACACGTTTCACTGAGCCTGGCCTGCCACACTCCCACACTGAGACTGGGAAAGCCACTATTGCGCATCTGCTTTGGTGCAAGTCATGCAAGAATGGTCACATCAGCACCTCCACACACCGACGCCCCCTCTCCGCTGGCTTACCTGGACCGGATTGTCGGTTGTTGCTGATGCTGTTAATTATGTAATGCGAGACTTTGGAGTTCTCTGACACCGACAGCACGTAGTCGCCGGGGCTGGTGATGGAGTCCCGGACCAGAAACACGCCGTGCCGCTGTCCCTGCAGCAGAGACACAGCCTCCTGCCTGCTCAGCCGACCCCAGTACCAGCTGCCGCGGTCCTCCGCGTCAAAATTTCCGGCCATGATAACCACTCCAAAGCCGAGGCTTCACCGGGGCCTTCCCTGCTCTCCCTCCCGTTATCCACAAGCAGAGCCTTCAACTCATACAAAAACTTTAGCGCCTAGAGCACGTTTAGTAAACAGGCGACCTCCGCAGCTGGCCGTCTGGGCATCAATCCGCCGATACCGGAGCTGAGCCGCGGTGTCAGAGCGACTCTTGTTCGGCCTGCAGTCACCACTCCGCCCGATCAGTCACACAAGAGCTTTTAGCGGCACAATTCCAGCTACAATCCAGCCGCCGATGACAACTAACTTCAAAAACTGAAATGGCGGATACGGGAAAACAAAAAAAGACCCCACTCACCGGATGTGACGAACTGATGTGTCAAGCGACCGGACGAGCGTCGAGCTGCTCATGTTCCAAAATAAAACCAACACACCTTTTCACAAACACGCTTGATAAATACAGTAAACACATAACAGCAGCGTTTGCTAAATCTTATTATACGACACTGCTGTCGTTTACAATGCAGTACTTGGACGTATAGTTTATTTTAGAAAAGAGACACATTTGTGAGCTTTTATTTTGGTAATGTCTGTAAACCGCTTCCCCTGCTCGGACTAACTCTGTTGCACTTGACAGCCTGTCCTTCACGTTATTGTGAAACCCGCAGCTTACATCATTATTGCGCCAGATCAGCGGAAATTACACTGCGGACACTTCATGTTTTGCGCCCACAATTATTTATTACCTCGCAAATTAATTCTTGCAATTTTAACTCGGGAAGAATACCGGGTTAGTTGCAGTTTCTAACTCTAGCCACTAGGTGTCAGCCACACACTGTTACAACGTGCCGCACTGGGGCGGTTTGACATCCACGTTCAGAGCCTTTGTCCATAAGACGTCATTTATTACACTAGAAAAAAACAAAAGCTATTTTCTTCTTCACAGGACCATCAACTTACTGCACATTTATGCTAGGTACTATACACCTCACTCAGTCACTTTACACTGGGTACTAACTAATACTATTTCAGACTTTTAAGCTATTAAACATTTACCAATGTTTTGAGGAAAAAAGTCTTTTTACTCTCCTGCCAGGAATTAAATAATAAAACAGACTCTCATGTCTGTGTCATAAGTATGGATGTAGAGCTAAGGAGAGATTAGCCTAGATTAGCATAAATACTGGAAGTAGCTAGCCTTAGCCAAACTTACTCTTACCTAACATCTCTAATGCTCAATAATTCATATGCTGTATCTCGTTTTATCTGGGTCACAAAAAGAAATGTAGAAATGACCATTTGTGGTTCATAGGAAGTTGTGTACTCTTTCCCTCCTGCTTCCAATTTTTATGCTAAGCTAGGATAAATAACCTCCCAACTCTACCCAGCGCAGTAATAATAGCAAAGTTCTTAAATTTATTTATGAAGTATCTCTAGAACCTACAGGAGTTGAACTGAAACGGTGCACAATTAAAATATTGTAGGCCATGAATTTCAATTACACAACAATTATTCAACACAATTACTAAAAGACAAATGTTAGCAAGAAGACAATAAAGTTGCTCCACGTTACGACACTGAATCAGTGTGTCAGGTTCTACTTGAATGCAAAAGAGAAGATGTGGGTTTTCAGCAGTGACTTAAAAGTTTCTTGAGTTTGAGCAGTTCTTACATGAAAAAGGTCAACTGTTCCAGAGATTAGGAGCAGCCAGGCTCAAAGACCTCTACCTTTGTGTCTCAATATCCCAGAACATCTGGCTGGTCGACCTCAGTGCTCTAACTGGGCTGTAATGATGCAGAAAGTTCTGCTAAATAAAGTGGAACCAATCCGTTGCAATCCATAAAAACAAACAGAAAATCTTCAAATCAGTCCTGGAACAGACAGGAAGCCAGTGGAGAGAGGACAGCACTGGAGCATGTGATCACGCTTTCTTCCTTCTTTGCATGTGATGTGCATTTTGTATGCAATGACTGATCTAAACCCAACATACAAACCCACATACAAAGAGTTGGAAAAGTCTAACCTAGTGCTAAGAAAGTCATGGATAACTTTTTCACATAGGCCCTCACCTTGACTAATAAATGTAATTGTGAACAGCTAGCTTTAATCACTGCTCTGATCTGTCTGACGAATTTCAAGCATCGTCAAAGATCACTCCATTGTACTGTCACAAAAGATTGATTGTATGAAGTCAAAGAGTCTAGAGTGGTGGCAGGTTCATTCAGAAGGTTTGGTCGACCAAACATCATGATTTCAGTCTAATTTTCGTTCAGATTGAGAAAGCTTAGATCCATCCAGGTTTTATTTTTTAGGCAGTCTGGTTTTATTTTTACTGGCAGAGAGGTTTGTATTTCATCTGCAAAACAACGAATGATCCCCAATGGCCATATACAAACAGAAAAAGGGGTTGGAGCCAAAGTGAAACCTTGAATGACCCCACAAGTAAACAGGGCTGCAGTTGAAGAAAATTGACCCACGTGAACAGAGAAACTCCTGTCTGTCAGAAAACGGAGGTTCATGTGAGGACAGTACTGCTGGACACCCTGTTCAAGACATTCATCACACATCCACCGTGTCAAAGGCAGCAATCAGGTCCAGGAGCAGAGAAGATCATTAAAAACTCAGAAAAACGCTGGTTTGAGGCATCGATTTTCTCATCTTGGATTTGGCAACAAAAGCAAATAATTACAACTGCAGTGTGAGGAGTGGATACCTGGGCACTTCAAAAAACATTCCCCGCCTTGCTCGAAAACATCACAAGAGAAAGACTGTTCTTACATTATTGTTCAACATATTCTCCTTTAACTTCAGTGTAACTGCTTCACCGATGTTGAAGCTTTAGTATCTCTTCACAGTCACATCTAGAACCTCAAGATTCTCCTCAACAGCATGCATGACTTCATCGTCACCCTGAAAATGGATCTCCATGCCCATGGGAGTTCAGTTTGGGAGATAGATAGAAGTTAGACTCTGCAGGTCTGGTGAGTAAAGTTCATGGAGCAGCAGTTCAAAGCCGCTGCTTCTGCTAACTGTGCTGTGTGGATGGACTCACTGTGATGGAGCAACAGCAGCCAGCTCCAAGCTTTGTGCTTCTTTTCTCTTTGATTGCTTCAAACAACTTAAAGCGACTTAAAACAACTCAACTTAAACCTGCACTGAATCACTTCTATGTATAATCTACCTCACAACAACTCCACTTCACTCAACCCAACTACCACCAATCGTGTTTTATAGCGTTTCAACCATGTCTATAGATTCACAGGTTGTACAAAGACTCAGTCGTGTACAACCTTATAGTGTGTGTTGCTGGTGCACCTCGGGAGCAGCTCTTTACATTTCATTGTACTTGTATAACGACAACAAAGACTTTCTATTCTATTCTGTTCTATTCTATACCGCAGTGACGTAGGGTTTTATAGTATACAGTAATGCCCTGTTTCTGAGGAAGGCAGAGAACTTTTAGAAGTGCCCTCATACAGGCAGCAGTTCTAACAGTTCTATAAAGACATGTTCTATAATATTACATTTCCATCTAATCAAACTGTCATTTTTTTTGTTTGTTTGTTTATGCACAAGCCTCCACTTCTGGGTGATTTAAACACACATCGATGACCTCTCCTCTCTGAGTAACACTACATCATAGGCTGTTGTTGTTTATGTACAACAAAATAAAACTTTGATTTTCTCATTGTATTTGTTTTTCGGAGAAGCGAGGAGAGGAAAAACTGTGACCTTTAAACAATGACTTGGTTAATGAAAAAAAGGGAGATTTAATAACAGCCTTTGCAGGATTGTCGCAGCATACTGGGCATATGGCAAGAGTGATATTTTAAAATTATGATATTTAAATTGTGTTAATAACACACATGTAATGATATCCTGTCACTCTTATTGACGCTCCAGTGTAGAAACAACATGCAGTTACGGTCACAGACTCTCTGCCTCCCTACACTTGCATTTTAAATGGAATTCATTTACAATAAACAAAGTTAAAGAAGAATATGATATTTTGTACGGAAGCCGAGAGCGGTCATGGCCGCACATTTTTAAAGCAGCATTTTCTCGAGATAACGACATAATTATCCCGTTGACAGTTTGGGCTGTCACTTCAGCCTTCATCAGAAGTTGTCGGACTTCCTGGTGTGACGTATCTTATATCGACAGCTGACCGGGAACTCCGACATGACGTGTCATGAGAACAGCTGACCGGTCACGACAGCTTACAATGAAGCGCTCGTGCCCGGTCTCGTCTGTCCTCCGGCCCCCCGCTGGTGACTGGACCGGGCACGAGCGGGCAAACACAAACACCAATTATCTCGTTATCTCGAGAAAACGGCGAAGAAAGAACAGTAGCGGAAAACGACCGCTCTCGGCTTCCGTAATTTTACGGTATTTTATTTCAATAATTCTTTTCCTATTTTCTCTGGATATCACATTGCTATCTCTATCATGTTTTGTTTTGGCCTCAATTATTGTGCAGTGAAAATCTAATAGGCTGCAGGTGGCTCAGTGGTTAGCACCGTGGCCTCACAGCTAGAAGGTCGGTGGTTCACGTCCCGGTGAGGACACCCGGGATCTTCCTGCGTGGAGTCTCCATGTTCTCCCCGTGCAGCGTGGGTTCTCTCCGGGTTCTCCGGCTTCCTCCCACAGTCCAGAAACATGCTGAGGTTAATTAGTGATTGTAAATTGTCCGTAGGTGTGAATGTGAGTGTGCTTGGTTGTCTGTCTCTAAGTGTAGCCCTGTGATAGACTGGTTACCTGTCCAGGTGAACCTGCCTTCACCCTGAGTCAGCTGGGATAGACTCCGCCCCCCCATGACCCTAGTGAGGGTTAAGTGGTGTGTAGATGATGGATGGATGGAAAATCTAATATCGTGACTGCCTTCATTGAACCCAATCCTTGTTCTTATCAAAGCATTCATGCATGATTTACTACAGTGAGTCCATATAAAGGAATAAATACAGATGCATTAAGCACAGAAGGCATTTTCTGTATGTAAATCTCCTCTAGCGCAGTAATAGCAGAGCTGTGGTGTTGGCGGATCCTCCTTCACATCAAGGTCTGTATAATTCTGCCGCTCCCCGGACACCCACACTGTAAGCAGCTGACACCTCCAATCCACAGATCTGCAGCAGTCACAACACTCTAATGCCAAAGTAAAAGAAAGGGAGCATTTATTTTCCAATCATAGAATTTATTGGTAAGATCCATGGCCAAACAGCAAATCATAAGGTTTTACAATTTTCTCTTGAATTAAAATGAATGAACAGAGTATTTTTAACAGATCCATTTGATGAAGTGGCATGAAAACAAAAGAGCTGTGGGAAAAGGGAAGACAATGTATGGAGAATATGAAAGAGGTAAAGTGAGAAATGCGTACAGAAGGAAAACATCATGGAGAGAGAAAATCCAAGGCTACAGACACTAATGCCTCCAGATTCACATTACCATGCTTCTTTTTACATCTCACAATCAATGAGCAGAGTCCTTGAGCAAGATAGCCTCGCATCATGCGGTCACTTAAAGCATTCATAGCCCGACCTGCTCTACAACTCCAAGGTGAGCACCACGATCATCCCACTGGAACATATGGAAGGACTAATCATTGAGCAGAGAGGGTGGCACAGGAGAGAACACCACACAACAACACACACTTAGAACTGGACAAATAACAGAACTGCAGTGAGGGAATCGGATCAATATGTGAGTTTCTGATAACAACAGACCAACAGAGGGGCTGAAACCAGTTAAAATGTGTCTGAATTATCTTAATTTTCAAGCATTTTCTGGAATAAAGGTTTCAAAATAAAAGCCCACATCTCTGCGGGTGCGTCGGTCTAATTCTGGTTGTGATCGTCTCCCTTTGATTTGACCTGAACATAAACATGGACACGCGTGTGGCATCAGCCCGTTATAAACACATGCCTCTCATCTCCACTCTCTGCAGGCCTGTCATGGTACCGCCACAGTCAACCTGACAACAGAGTCTGTGAGCTTCCACAAGAGCCCAAGAACCAGGTCTGAACCAGAACATGAAGCCAGTCATCCTCACTGAACACACACACCCATCTGGACTCAGTGTACAACAATCAATACTGGACGTCCTTCCACAGAGCTTGACCTGCTAAAAACAAATAAAAAATCACTGTGGTTTTCAAGGACAACCTTCAGCATCACGACCTGTCTGCCTCTGTTTAAAAGCTTCAGTGTGGTGAGCTGTTTGTTAAAGTGATTTTTATAGAGTACTAGCTTATTGTAAAGGTAGATTAAAGGGATGTTTCTCTTTGTAATTAGCTTTAAATGCAATGCCACTGAATTCCTGGTGGCTGGTTTGTATTAATGAGGTGCAAGGCTATCAAGATTCCCACATCATGACCAGATACCAGAGATTAGTTTCAAACAGACACTAAGAACAGCTCCAGCTCATTTCAGTTTGCCTCCACTAAATGACTGAATTCTCTGTGAGAACTCGGGATACTTAATAGACATGTTTTAGATTACTTTAAACTGGCTGCTTGTCTTACTTTCAAAGCTTCTTCTCATTATTAAAAGGCCTGTGTGTTAGAGCTCCAGAGGAAGCTGCATGAAGTCTGACATTTCATCACGTATCCCTCAGCATCAGTTGAGTCTCAAGACAACAAATTTGAAAAGTAAAAAGAAGTGAGTTGACCAGACGTGTGCAGCCGGCTGCTTATCTCTGACTGAGGGAACATCAGCAGCAACGGGCGTAAAACACCTGAATCTCTGCCTGAACTGTTGGCAGTTGAGTTGCATCAAGGGTAATGTAGGCACTGGGTCTCGTTAAGGAATTGTGTAAACGATATCTCTGCTTCTCATCATGTGATGGTGAGTCTGACGGCGCACAATAGTGCACGGCGCTAAATCAGCTGAGTTCTTTTTAGATGGTGTCCATTTACTGAAAAAGCAATGTGCAGGTTGATTCTTAAAAACACATAAATACATCCATTTATGCTTCATAATTCTATCACATCCGTCCATGTATTATCTACACACCGCTTAATCCTCACCAGGGTCATGGGGGGCGGAGTCTATCCCAGCTGACTCAGGGTGAAGGCAGGTTCACCTGGACAGGTAACCAGTCTATCACAGGGCTACACTTAGAGACAGACAACCAAGCACACTCACATTCACACCTACGGACAATTTACAATCACCAATTAACCTCAGCATGTTTCTGGACTGTGGGAGGAAGCCGGAGAACCCGGAGAGAACCCACGCTGCACGGGGAGAACATGGAGACTCCACGCAGGAAGATCCCGGGTGTCCTCACCGGGATGCCAACCGGCGACCTTCTAGCTGTGAGGCGCTAACGGTGCTAACCACTGATCCACCTGCAGCCATTAAACTATCACTTGAGAAGTAAAAGCATAAGTTTATATGTTTCATGAAACATAACAGCAGAAATTCAAATGAAGTTCTGGATCAGTCAAAGTCTGGACCTCGTGAGGCTGATAGCTGTTGTGGGTTCTTCGGTGCATACAGCAGCTTCAGGCCGTCTGGTACTGGTGCTGGTGGCAGCAACGGAGATCCAGTTCAACAAAAACACTGTAAGTTTAATTTTATGTTGGAAAACTTCTAAAGTAGTCGACTGTCTCCGAGCTCATTCTGTCTCTGTGGCAGTGCAGGACTGGCTTCTGTTAGATGAACCAGATCTTGGTGGACTAGTTTATGGCTGAGAATCGATGCTAAAGACCAACAACACCAGTCCTCTTAGATCCTGATGTGTGATAACTTCACTGCACTTTGATGTGGCACATTATCACATGTCGGCTCCTCATCCAGACATCTGCTGGGTCTCTTCACACCACTAATTATTTTCTCACTGAAGGTCAGGATTTGTCTTCCTCCTATTCCTGGTCTTTTTGACACCCAGCAGGCTCATAATTACAAACCTGCAGTCTGTCATTTGCTCTTGTAAATTCACATTTTGACCTCTTTCGTGTCAAAACTACTGTTGTGATCCAAATGTCTTATCGTTAAACTGGACATATCAGCTGCAGGAAGGTTTAAAACTCTGCTACAGAAACTACTGGCTGTTGTGTGTGTGTGTATATTTAAACACATTTTTTCAAAAATCTAATTTCTGCTTCATTTTCCTTCCAACCTGCACGTTGCTCTTTAAATGGCAAAATATCCTACTTGAAAAGAACTCACAGATCTTCAGAATCCATTGAGCTGCTCAAGGTGAAGATAAGGGACTTTAGTGAAATACGAGAGCTAAAAATCTGACACTTTACTTTTATAATACTAAAAGGTTTAACTGGAAACTTGTATTTTCAGCTCAGCTCACCCCTAACTCTAGCCTTTTGTCTCTAAAGAAGTGACCTCCACTTTGCAACACAATACTACATTAAGCTTCATTGTACAGTTGGTGGAAAAGGCTTTTTGTTGTTTGGAGCCTCAAGCTTATTCGACATAGACTAGTTTTGCAATGCAGGAACTTGCAGGCTGTTTTTAGGACCTGAACTTCTACCCAGACTGAAGAACTGCCCCTGTAGAACCCCCTTCAGGGCCGACTTTGGAAGAGAAGAAAGTCCAGGGTGGGTACTTCTGAGCAAAAACCTCAACAAGCACCTTTTGACGTCCTCATTGTGCAGCAGTCTGCTCTTAAACATCACCATCAACACTGTCAACTTCATCACATAGACTAACATACAAGAAGGTCCATTTTCTGTTTCCTACATGCTCACAGAACAAGAGCTACGTCTGGTACCTGCTGTTTATTGTTGTGCCGGCTGTGAGGTCCTACACAAAGTGAAAGGGCCAATCACAGGGTGTTTGTACGTCTGCGCTGCCTTCTGCCCGGAGTTCCTGCAGTGGAAAGGCGTCTATCATCAAAGCTGTTTTTCCCGACCTCTCAAAGCCCCTTTAAAATGTACACAACCGCCTGCACTTGTATCACAAAACAATACAATAGTTTTGGTTTTCTTAATGCAAACCTCGAGTCAGCAGGTGCAGTGAATTCATTTGCCATCGTTGCTGTGCAGAGCGGTTTTGTTGGCGTAATTCCTCACAGCCAGCGACACAAGGTGCCTCCATCACGCATCCAGCTGGGTTACCTTCAATTTGTGATGCAACTGCAAAGCCTGTGCACATCACAAAAAGCTTTCATTTTTATTCCACACACATTAACAGGTGAATGTATTATCGCCCGGGGCAACCGTCTGGAAAATAAATATATTTGCATTTATCAATGAGTGGCTGCTTCAGCGGGAGGCTTTCTTCTGTGTCTCCACAAAGTCTTCCTTTCCATGACAATCAAACCTTTACACCTCAGGCATTTTTATAATACAACAAACTAAGAGTCTGGTTCAGCTCTTATCCAGCTTCTACCAGTTACTCAGGTACATTTAAACTGCTACTCTACACCACAAAAAACATAAATATGAATACTTGAATTCAGTGGTATTCCTCTTTAAGTTGCTAATCTAAACAATCGCCCCTGGACACATTAAATAATATATTGTTTATATATATATATACTGTACATCCAAAAATACAGTTTATTTGTTAAAGCTTTGCACAGACTCTAAGGGACACATGGAGGGAAAGCACGAGCTACATACTGCATAAGGATATAATTCGCTGTAACAGTCCGGTGGACAGCGTATGTGAATGCGATCATAGCTGATATATATGTAAACACAGCACTGTAAGCATGTGAGTGCACAGCACCGTGAAACATGGCCTGGATTATGAGGAAAGAAAGGCTACTAAATATTTCAGCACTTTGCTTTGGGACACATGAAGTGACATTATCACATCTATCTGCTGTACATCAACACCAGCCTGCTCTTCTGACAATCATCAGGCCTCCTCTCCTCGCCTCCACCTCTGCCAACCCGGTGCATCTGTTCATTTCTTAACCGATTTCCACAAATGGCTTGACTTGTGATTCCTGCCTGTCTTCTGATCCATCTGGCAAGCTAATGTGGGAGGGAGACATTTTACACTGCTAGTTTTTGGCAAAAAACATTTTGTGAGGTTGAAGGGCCCTGACTAGTTTATGTGCATCTCTTTATTTTCTGCTCTCAGTTTGGCTCGCAGCAGCAGCAGCAGCAGCAGCAGCACACGGTTAACCAGTAACGGGATGTGCTACAGGCACATGTAGGTATTACCAGGATTACAAGGAGGAAGGACCTGAATAAGGATCAACATTCTATACATAAAAGCCTCATGTGATATAATGTCTACTCTATGTACCCTCAGTCTCTTTGAAACAACAGACAGTTCTGATCAAACACACGTCCTGTTGGGGATCCAGTCAGCTGGGTTCAGTGGTCACTGTCAGCGTCTGAAGGCCGCGGCGGCTGCTCACAGCTCAGAGTGTCCAGTGCCATGTTACGGGCTACATGCAGCACTGCAGCCTCTGGAGGCGCACTCAGTCTTTTCTCGCCTCCTTCCACACAGGACTCGACACAGGAAAGGAAATATAAGCAGAGCGGGGAGCAGCCATCAGGTCAAGTGGTCTGACTGGTCGCTCAGGTCGTCCTCCTCCACTCTCATTGGCTCAACAGCTCCAGAGGAGTGCTGCGATTGGCTGGAGTAGGACAGGTGGGAGGAGCGGCTCTGCGTGTCGTCATCGTCCTCCGCCATCACCGGCCTCCTCCCCAGCCGCTGCACTCTCCTCACCACCTCCTTCTCCTCCTCCTCCTCGTCCTCCTCTTCCACTCGCCTCCCCCTCCTCCTCCCCGCTGCCTTCCTCTGCTCCCCCACCGTCCACATGCTCTCCTCCTCGTCCTCCTTCCCCTGCACCTCCCTGTCAAAGTCCAGCAGCTCCTCCATCATCTCCTCTATCTCCATCTCTCCGTCCAGCTCCTCCTCCACCTCCGACCGGAGCTCGCCCATGCTCTCAGTCCGGTTGGTGTCGTCCGTCTCCTCCTCCTCCCCGAGTCCCCTCAGCCGTTCGGGAGGGTCGCTGGCCTGGCTCTCTCCGAACTCCAGGATGGTGGGCAGGTTGCCCTGCTTGGGACAGCGCTTCCTCAGGCTGACCAGGAAGGGCTGCGGCAGGGAGAAGATGTCCACATTGTTGCCCAGGTCGATCCAGGTCACGCTCGGGAAGCTGCCCGGATCCTTAGACAGAAAATATTCACATATCAACAAAAGCCGCATGTTCACTATCTCTGTTTCTGCAAACACATGAGATCAGTGTGGAGAGGATTTCCCCGGATACACCAGTGTTTACACACAAATACATTTCATCCACAAGATCTCAAACAATAATCCTCAGTGTTTGGGCCAGCACTCACTGCATAAGACTGTATGAAGGAACCAGGAAGCCAACAATGTTTGCAGAAGGACAAATGTTTGCTCCGAGTACAAGAGACTAAAGAATGACTGTGTGTTGTTGTTTCCTGGTGTGTGACAGATCTGTGTGGTTTTCAGTCTATCATTAGACTAGTTTGCCGACTTTTCATGGTTCTTTAGATTTGGTGGAAAAAACAACGTGTTAGTGCCCATCAGTGTCGTTCCCTAGTTTATTTCCTGTGCCTGAAAATAGTTGGTCGAAAAAGACCAAGACTGACATTAATTCTGTCGAGATTGTTTCCACAAAAAAACAAAAGCAAACCTCAAACCCATCGGCAGGTTAGAAAGGCCGCTGTCTTCTAAAAAACTTACACCATTTATCAGAGTCAGAAACTCTACAATCATCTGATTTTCAACTTTCTAACCGTCCTTGAAATGTGTCACGTATGTGTGGTGTTGCTTAAAATCGCCGTATTTCATCATTTACATCTCAATAAAAAATCTATTAAAAATCAACAATTCATACAAACGAGGATGATGATCATGGTGACTAATACTAAAAAATATAAAAATAACATAATAATATGCTCCTCAGCCTGGAGGGCCTCAGTCATGTTTCTGCTGCAGCCTGTTCACAGTGACGAGGAAACACATTATGAATGTAAGCAAAAGCAAAACCGTCTGTCGTGTGAAGAGCCACCACATGATGCACTTGGGAGAATTGTTTCGGTGTTAATTCCATTTGTTCTTAAACTTTTTTTTGTGAAACAGAAAATGCCAAAATGTGTGTTTTGTTGGTTTGTGGATTATAACTGTGATGCTGCACGACAGATGTTTTACAGTTCTCTCTACTTCCATGGCTGTGCTGTGAAAATGAACCCAACAGTGAACAAAAAGGTAAGAAAGAACTCCCAGAAACCACTTGAGTCGGTTAAAGAGGCGTGCAGCAGGTTGAACCTCAGCACTGCTGTGGGTCTTGTTCTGCCACAGTGACTGCCAGCATGTACGGCAGCAACACAAAGCTTTCACTACACGACATTATGAATGCATTTCACTAACATTTAAAAATATGCAAAAGTGTCTTTCGGACCTTCAGGGCATCAGTCAGCTCCTTCAGAATCGTCCTGGTCAGCCTGTTTCCGTTCAGAGCCAGAGTCTCCAGATGTGGGAGGACAGCCAGCGTGGGCAGGAGCAGGAGGAAAGCCTCATCCGTGAGCTCGGTGAAGCCCAGCTCCAAGCTGACCACGGTGGACGCGTGGCGCTGCAGGTGTGCGCCCAGACGCTCCATGTCCCGAGCCGTCAGAGGGATGCCGGAGAGATCCAAGGCCCCGCTGGAGAGAGGGGCCGACAGCACCGCCTTCAGACTGGAGACAGACAAAGAGAGAAGATCAGAACCTGCTTGCTTTGGGTTATTCTGTGTTGGTGACATACCCGATGAAGGTTTTCTGTTTCCCGTTACTGTTCATCTTATTTATGTCTTAAATTGTCAGGATATTAAACGAGTGTGCTGCACTAAGACTCTTAGTGATGACTCATTCCAAGCCCATAGATTCCCAAATTAATCCTAAACAATAACATCACACACTGTAACATGAACCACCTCCACTCATCATGTAAAACCTGCAACCTCACACTTCTCAAAGCGCGGCGCCGTGGGGATGTTTCCATTTCTATGTTTGCATCCTATTGGCTGTAATTTATTCACAGTGAAGAGCTCAGCACACACTGAACAATGGGTTGCTTCACAGCCTGTGATGAACTTTCGTTGGTTTAATACACGGTCGTCTCCTACATTGTATGTAAGTCTCTTTGCTGTCACGGAGTTCTGGTGCTGGTTGGAGATGCTGTGATGCTCGCTGTGTGAAACTCAGTGGATTTAAATGTAAGGAAACATCTGATCAAAAGATACGGTTAGACTAATAACTATAAACACAGTAAAAGACGCTTTATTCAGTGCTCGGCTATAGTTGGTGAAGTCACGTCCAAACCACTTACACCAGTAAATGTCCATCCTGGTGCTGATCCAGATGGTGCATCGGTATGCGCTCATGGTCAAAACCACGAGAATCAGCAGGTCTGCTGATCTTACATTTGGATTGTTTTGTCAAATTGACAAGAAGCTTTGTAAAGATACAGAGGTGACATGAACACCTGAACACCTCAGGTAAAGTTCTTTATTGTCATTTCAGCCATATACAGCTTTGAAATGAGATCCAGAATGCACACGCAACAGCAACAATGACCATCAACCAGGCCGTGTGCAGAGCGACATGCGGAGACCCTGGGTCACGCCTGAGACGTTGTAAATATCAGACATGTAGTAAAGTAGTAGTAAAGAATGCAGTGCAGAAAAAGATAAATAAAATAAAATAAAATAGAAATATGGGAACCTGTTAGAGCAATATAAACACGTATGATCTGAGCACGGACAATGACAACACAGTGGAGGTCGTGTGTGTGTGTGTGTGTGTGTGTGTGTTAGTCCAGTCCTTGAATGTTTAAACCCTCCCAAAATGGTGCAGCCCATCAGTTAGTCATGGTCAGATGTGGTAAATGTTAAATGCACGACACGCTGAGTCTGTGGCTGGCACCCGAGTGCTGATGGTACAGTCCAACCATACAAGCAAAACACAGGAACAGACATTTTAAACACTCAATCATGTTGTTAATGATGATTATATGGCTTGTCTATATCACAGCTGATAAACTGTTGCCTGGTCTGAAGCTATAGAATACATAGACGCCCCCATCCTCTCATGGTCCAGTCCTACTGCCGGTCTAACACAGATACTCGGTTCAAAATGTCATTCTGAAGCAACAACCCAAAGGTGATGAATTATAAATGAACCTGACCGACAAATATTCATGTAAAGTCATTGAAAACAAGTTTCAATCCAATTTTTCATTTTCAAAGTGCAGAAGTCACACTGACCACATCAGCACCATTATTCCAACAAATAAACCTGCAGGATCTGACAGCACAAAGCGAGGACATAAAATGTCCACGCCGCATGCAGTCCAGTGTGCACTGCACTCAGACGCTAATGGAAACTACATAAAGAGTCGACTGCAGCTCAGCGGACCTCCGGGGACACACAGACAAACATGCACAGACACTCGGGGGATTAAGGGCCGAAGAAACCGTAGTTGGGGGAAAGAAAATGGCCTCAGAGCAGCAAAACACTTAAAGCTATTCTCTCCAACTGCATGGTCAGACTTAAAAATAAACCCAAAGGGCTGCTTGGATTTGGCAGAGAATTATGTGAGCTGAGCACAAAGGGCTCATCTGGGGTCTGGTCCATAAAGAAAGAAAAACGGTTTATTTTTTCTGGCTTACATATGAAACAATACTTGTAATGCACACTTGAGATGAGTGCCAGTGCCACTTATTACCCACAAATAACATGCACATGAATGTGAGGTTCAGGGACACACACAAAGTAGGATATTTAGGATTAATCTCCTGGCAGGAAATCTGCTTCCTCTCTGGCTATACATCTGCAGAACGTGAGCTACAGCGGAGGCCTTGAGCTCTGATCAGCACAAAGCTGGACAGAGGTTTATACAGAAACAAGCGAGTGCTGTGCAGACTGTGAGATTCAACTTTTATTATCAGTTAACAGCTGAATATATTTATCTGCTCACATACCAGAGGGACTAAAGAAGGAATCTAGGCCAGAGCAGCCCAAAGCAAAGCAGTGAGTGTGGGTCAATTTTAGATCTCAAAATATGTTTTAGTCACTCTGCTGAGGCCTCCAGACAGTCGCCTGTCACTGGGGACTATTTTTGGTTTGATTTGGCTGCTGTCCACCTACAAATGTCAGCTCAGACTGGTGACATGAGGGTGTCGTTCTTTGGTGCCGGGCATTATCTAGAATTGAACTATACTTCCCATCTTTGCTCTTATGGACTTTGAAAGCCAACAGCTGCGGTTCTGTTCATACTAGGTATGTGTTAAACTGGCTGCACTTGTAGTTTAAGGACTTTTCTACCTTAGTGGTGCTCAAAGCGCTTTACAATGTGTTTCTCATTCATCCATTCACACACAATGGCGCCATGCAAGGTGCCTGCCTGCCAGCAGGAGCAGCTTCAGGTTCATTGTCTTGCCCAAGGACACTTTGACATGTGGAGGAATCGAACCACCAACCTGGAGGTTAGTGGACAAGCCGCTCTATTACCTGAGACACAGTCAACAGTCTGCTGCAGGCTCATGGGATGTAGCAGACTGGCCTCTATGCATCATGTCAACATGATTTTTCTTGTTTCGAGCTCAGTGGGCACACACAGCATCTCCAAACAGGCAACTGCTTCCATTGCAACTGTTCAAATGATGAATAATAAAGGAGCGGATCGCCAAGAACGTCCTCATACAGCCTCTCTTCAGAACAAGAATTTGTTTTAAGCACCATTTGTTTTCCTGGCACATATGCAGTCAGCGTACTGGTCAGTCCCAGATCTTGCTCTACATGTGGACGCCTGCAGAGGAGTCTGCACAGACCTTCACAGATTTGGGGAGATGATGAAATTCACACCACAAGTGCTCAGCATGAATTGCCCTTAACACCTCCCCTGGTTTAAGGGCACTCAGCAAAGTCTCCTCTTCTGAAAAAGGGCCCGTTTACCTTTGAAGATCTTTGTATGTGAAGCTTTTCCTCAGAGAAGGCCATAACCCACACAGCAGCTGCTGGTGTGTGAGAGGCCATATCTCCAGCCATGAGAAGGTTGTTCTACATCAGCTGTGCCTGTGCTGGGTCTGTATGTGCAGCCTTCACTCTGTACAGGATTAAAAATTGAAGGGCCTCCTCAGTCATTTATACATCCATTAAATCTTTATTTGAACTCAGGATATATTGACAGGGAATTCCTCGGAGGTCTACATCCACCCTAAAGCCAAGGCAGCGTCAGATCACAGCAGGACGGTGCTGAACACACTGGAGCTCCCAAATCCGTCCTGAACCTATTTGTTCATTTTGTGTTTTATTTTCTATTGTGCTTATTTTTTTGATGTTGTTATATTAAATATTAAATACTCAGTGAGCTTTTGAATTGCCCCTTGGGGATAAATAAAGTTATTTGAACTGAATTGAGGTAAAGAGGTCTCATTTACAAAATAAGACAACATATGGGCACACAAATAAGAAACTTTGACAAGAATGACAATAACATTAAAAAGCAAAAGTAGTAATATAATGAAACTATTAAAAAAAAATGGAACACTTAAAATGTGTACAAGAGCAGCTGGAAGTTAAATAACACCAAATGTCCATGAAGATAAAAACAAGTCAAGCTTCAGATTCTCTCTGGATTATCCAGCTGCTGCTGAACCACCCATTCCAACCACAATGTCCAAGTCAGCCTGGTTTTAATTCAACAAAACCTGCATGTAGAGTCTACTTCTGGTTACCAGAGTAGTTTTAGGTACTACAAGATTCTTAATCAGTCTTAATAAGGCTCAAAACTATTCTCATAATCAAAGTATTTAGTTAAAAACATCTCTTCACGCACCAAGATGTGACATTTACAAATGAGCAGTTTAGAAGGCTAAACTGGAGAATATTTCTTATTTTTTAAAAAGTGAATCCCACCTCTGTCCTCCCTGAAACATCTGTAGTTCAGTCAACCAGCTCACATGGAAGAGATGTCAAATGTACAACATGTTAGAAAGTGTATTTTAGGCCAGCTGACAGCTCCATGATGACGATATGAGCAGAATGAAGACTCCCAGACACAGAGGTCTCATTATGCTACTTCCTGTGTGTCACTGTCCATCCAACAGTCAGTTATTCTGGTTACTTTCTCTTATCTTTATGCAGGAATGAGCTCCATGTAGAAGCACCGCATAATAAGCTTTTTAATAATTAAAAAACAACCTGAGACAGCTAGCCCAAAATGTACTCTTTAGTTGTTGATATTACATTTAGGATTGCATTAGGGTGAGGACATAAGTCAGTGGTAGCTGTGCTGCAGCCGCCTGGGCCTCCAGTGTGGAAACCCTCTTGGCTCTGGCCCTGAATGCAGGAGGAGCTCAAGCTGGTGATGAAGGGTGGCGGGTGGGGGGGAGGAAGCATGTCTGTTAGATAGAGAGGAAAACATTTGCCAGCAGAAGGAGGTGTTGCTCTAAAAAAAGGCATGTGTCCGTCACAGTGAACAGGGTTTGTTGTGCTTCTAATTATTGACGAGATAACCTTGAAGGCGAAGCATGGCTGCTCTGCTGGATGTGAAGCAGATTCACTCAGCAGCCTATTGATTCACTCACCTCTGCATCAAGACTAACCATGTTTTATTTCTCTCCACCATGGGGTCAACGCCAGCTTATGTGCTGCTTTGACCACCTGGTGTTGAAGCCTCTTCTACACGGTGTGTG